ACCACCTCCCACCCTTCGCTGCGCAGTAATAGTCCGTCTCTCACCCCTCCCTAAGTAATAACACTGTGCCCCCCTCCTCCCGATAAAATTATCCAAAATCCCATGCCTGAAGTAGCAGTGATTTAGCGTTTCAGATGAATTTGATAACAACTGGCTGTCATCAACAACCAATTGTCGTAATCCTTTGTCTACTGAAACTTGAACCAACCGGCTTTCTTACCTGTGTACGTGAGGTCAGATCAACCGTCAAACAAATTAATTTTGTGGAAGCAATCCGAACTGCAATGTATCACGATCGCAACATGCAGAGAACTTTTCATGCAATACTTTTACTCGCAATTTTAAATCGAGGTAGGTGATCTTTACGTATATTTGGCTAACCTAAGAATTCTTTACCTTTTGGCAGTGGTCAGACATGAGATAAATGAAATGCTTGTATGAACGACTTCCGCATTCGACAGAGAACGTAGCTGGCTCAAAGCGACTTCTACTCTTGCTCACCTCGCTGATACAAGCACACATTTTTATTGACGGGTTGCGGTAAATATTTTGCCCAATGTTTTAAAAACCAGTTGCTTTGGAACGGAATTGAAAACACAGGTACTGCAAATACTCAAGACACGCTCATTGTCGGTTTTTTCTTCTGTTACCGGCCTTGGAGTTTTGTTATTCTATTTGTGTATCTGACCTTTCTCACGGACTCGGAGACGAATTTGAACGAAACTATCGATCGTCTGATCCGAAGTATCGGGCCAGTAAAATTAATCGAATAGGCGGACTCATCCCAACCCACCCCTCTCGTCAAAAGAACGGAATCCAGCGAGGACTTTTCCGGAAAACCCATCTTCAGTTCCGAAATACCTCGAAGACAAAGAAATACGCGTGACATAAATATTACGCGTCATAAATATTGTACAGGGTACAGAGTACAGATGTAATCTTATATCGAGTTTAGGTAGTCGGTGATAAAACGGAGGAAGCTGTGACTATCATACGACATACATCCTGCTGAGATCTTTCGCAAACGCCAAAGCACGTCAAACCTACCGTTCTTAGCCATAAGTGACAGAAAACAGGGTGCGTCGGTTTCTCAGAAAAGACGGAAGTATTCCTAAACAGACGCTCATTCACAACATTGCGTTGTCACCAAGGTATACAAGTCTCGTAACTTTACTGCTTTCTATTGAATAAATCAGACAACTGCTTGTAATTTTTTGTTTTCACGCATTTTCGACTGAAAACGGCGGCTGAAAAATTGTTTTCAAATACAGTTTTTTTCACATATTGTCAAGAAACCTTCAAAGTTGCCTAGTAACCTGGTTTTAGTTCGCGTGGTCATGCAAATTTATAGTGAGGAAATGTCAAGACCCTTCATTTGACAGGAAAAATAAATCATTTTCAAAGCGTGTGTCCTAACGAGAATATGAGGCAAAGCCCAAGTTGTGTTTTGATTCTTTTCATTATTTTCCATAAAGGTAAGTCAACCTTCTCGCCAAACTAAATTCTAGGTCTACGTGTGTTAAATTCGTTGAAAAACGTCTAGGTTTAAGGTTGCTAGACAGGCTTGCAACATGTCAATCAAAGATGGCGTCAAGAAACGCTTCTTTAATCGAGTTATAGAGGTGTCAACTTCTTGTACTGTGAGAATAGCGTTTGAAGACATAAGATTGTTCAAAACAGCCGAGTTTTAGGAGCCGTTAAAACGAAGAAACAGACAACGGTTCGTATAAAAAGGAAAGAACACATTTTAAAGTTGGTTTTTTTCAGAAGCTGCGGCGTTTGCTATTTGGTCGATCGACGAACTAAATTACGCAAAAGTGTGTTACTGGAGTGTGCATAGTAAATTGTGATAAGTTCTTTTGTGATACGTAATCTTTTATGTCGCGAAAAAAAAAGATGTATTTATCACCAGGGGATTTCATTAAAGATAAATAAAATCCCCTGATGAGCGAGTAATCACGAAACAGGCTTTTAGGGATGAAAGTCTCTTTTTTCCCCCTATCTCAATATATATCGCGCTCCACTTCTACGTATCGAACACTGTGCTACGGAAAAATCGAAACACAGACTTCCTATATATCTATATATATGTATATGTATTTCTCATTTCATATAATACTATGGGATTTTGAATGCGGCCGATTGGAAGAATCCTAAGAAATTCAGGGCTAAATTGGATCCTGAAGCTTTAAGGCTTCTTTAAACAGTATTTAAAGGCCTCGTCCTAACTTCGATTTTGTTTTTTCAAATGCTACTGAAGAACAACAAGCATGGATCGATTCCATTTTAGAGATGTTACATTGATTAGATAAACGCAAGTTATAACTGTAAAGTGATTCTGCTGGGCAGAACATAAGCAAAGAAAAAAATCGACCCGACGACAGTCAAAACACTATTTTTTTGACGTTTTTGACATAAAATTTCTCTAGTAGAACCGGTTTCGTTAGATCATGACCGTAAAATTCTAAATCATTAAAAGGATCATTGTTAAATATACACAGAAGCAGATGTGTTAGAGTCAACTGTTAGTATTGCGGTGTTTTTTATGCTAGAAAATTAAAATACTTGAGGTTTACTTTGTTTGTCTTCGATTCATGAACTAATTGGAGGCCTTGAGAAATGACGTAAGACAGGGCGGATAAAATATATCTGTAAGACGAAGAAGAGGCAAATGATGTCTTATACAAATTAAAATTTAGGTTCAAAACTCGGACTATGCTAATAAACTTTTATCAGACTATCATTAACAGCGTCTCCGATCGAATTACTGACAGGAACCTCTCAAGGCTGTCAGAAAATGTTGCGTGTCATAAAGGTCATGTTTCATATGAAAATAAATTTTGAATTCATGGGTAAAATTACGGAATTTCATCCAAAGCTTTCTATCTTTTTCCAATTGGCTGGCCAAAGGAGCTTAACCGAAATCTTAAGAGCTTTTTTTTAACAACAAGAAAATTGGGTATGATCAACTGGGTTGATAATGTAAATTGGCCACCGTTCAGGGTTTCTTAAACAGTGAAATTTCGAGCGTTAGCCCTTCCCTTTCTTAGTCTTTCGCTCGAAACCTCTCAGCCGACGCAGCAGCACATGCAGTTTCTTTAGAAACTAGCCCCTTTATTGCATAATTATCCGATCTCGGATAGGCAAGTTGTCTTACTCAACTCAGTTGATAACCCACTTTATGTTGATAATTGTTAATTAACTGGAATTTCGAAAAGCTGAAGTTTCGAGTCGCTGCATATTTACCTGCATACGCAATACAGCAGTTTCTTTAGAGTTCAGATGTAAGTCCATAAAAAAAGCGGAGTTTAATTTTAAGATTGCCTTGTTTTCGGTTTGTAAGTGAGATCGAAAAAGGTGTTCTGTTGGCTATTCATGTAAAGTCATGTCAATTTGGCTCGAAACGTTCGAAGTCGAGCTGATCAGCGGTGAAACTTTTATTTCGAATGTGCAGCAGTTTAAGTCAAAATTAGTTAAAATGAACTGCACCATACATTTTACAGCTTGATTTTTTACTAACCAAACCCAGTCAAGTCATCGGTTTTGATTTTCCATTCAACTTTGTGTTTTTTTAGTTGCTGGATGGAATTCGTCTTACCAGTTGGTGACTCCTTCGATGACCCTTACCAGCAAGACACTAGTAAAATTGCAAACTACTCAACACGTTTTTACTTCTTCTGTGGTTGTGGAAGGTTCTTCAACTTCTTCGATGACTTCTAACATTACATTATCACTTGTACGATGGCAAACTCCTCAACAGGTTATGACTACTTCCGTGGTTATGAAAGCCTCTGCAAAATTACCAACCAGTCCTCGACACAGCAGTGAGTCACCTTTACCAACGTTTACTGATCAGCCGTCTTCTACCTGCGTTTGTCCAAGCTCATCAGCTGTTTATTCGTCCTTGAAGTTTCCTGAGTCTTCCCCAGTAAATGACTCTCAAATGCCCTATTCTCCATCTGAAGCAATTGCCACTCAGATCTACAATTTAAATGGTACACCGACAATCAGCATTAATTTTTTTTTTGGTGTAGTAAGAACTGCACGTTTGACCAAATAAAAACACGCACATACAAGACTCTTTATTTTGAAATGAAAATTTCAAATGATGTCTAAATGTTCCATAAATGTCTTACTATCCTTAAATTTAACAAGAGGATATGAAACTGAATGTGTATGTAGGTAAGCCTAAAGCTCCTATGATTTGATGCGTTTATGAACTTCATAGTTCTTCGCGGCTTTCCCTACCTTTAAGAAGAAACATGCTCGTTAAATTGATCAGAAATTTTTATCATCCGTGTCAAAACAATATAGAGATTAAGTTATCATAATTATGAAATATTTTAAACAATTAAAATTAATTATGCCGTAAGATCACCTGTAGTTTTAAAGAATAAAATTTTTTTAAGCCCCAGCATTACTGGACTGTCGTCTTTGGTAAACACCTAAGAAGTTTCGTTTAGGATGTTTACATACAACCTTAGAACCATTTTTTTTAGGCTTTATACTTAGTATTACATGGACGCTAAATAATTTTTCTTCTTTTATGTTTATTTAGCCTCGCAATTCCAAAGTCAAGGTGTAATATCTACAACACGTCTATTTTCAAAGCAGACCCAATTGGCCACCTGCGTGTGTCCGTCTGTGAGCAAGTCCATGATTCCTGCACAGTCATCGGCGGCGCCAGAGGGTGAGTATCAAATTTCTTTAAGCCGTCATGTTTACATTTCTGTCTTTTCAAAGCCTGCAGTCACTGCAGCGTGAAGGAGGGGAGGGAGGGGGGAGGGGTGCATTACCCCACCATCTCAGAGAATATAAAACAGCCGGTTGAGGTAACTTGTTAGACTGTGGGTTTTGGGTTACAAACTTTCGGCAGCCTGTTCTTGTTTTACAATAAAAGTCATATTTCTACACCAAGACTGCGTGCAGGGAGTTGCATAAAACATATTTGGACAGTTTTTTCTCAGCACTTTAACCCGAAGCTTATGAGCTACAATTTGAAAAATTGCCGCACCGTTCCCGCCATTATGATGCATTCAACTAGTAAGTTATGGCGTCTACGCGATGTAAAATTTTCAGATTTTTCAACTTAAAAATTTTTTCTCTTGTTTTTTAGCAACACAAAGTCCGACAGGAACAACTCCGAAGCGTAAGTACTGACATCAAAACCAGAAAAAATAAATCAAAAGACAATCTTAGAAATGGAAAAAAACAAAAAACAAAACAAAATAAAAAGCCAGGAATTTAAAACATAAAGTCTTTTTGCGCGAGAAATGGATTTAGAAAAAAAGTTCGAATATACTATGGTTCTATTTAAAAAATGTATTGAAGCCCTATGATAATTATATTGCCATGTAATTGCATATTTTTCCATTTCTCCCTAATTTTTTTAGCGCACACGACAAAGCCACCGGCTACAAGTAAGTGCCGTCATTAGTAATATAAAAACAAAAAAAATCACGTTAGTGGTACTTTTTGAGGTAACACGAAAAAAACTGATCTATATACAAAAACAGATAACAACCATTTAGAATTATATCTTGCCTCAAGCTATTTACAAAATATCAAAATCCACGGGTATACAATTTTTAAATCTAGTTTTTATCCTCTCTAAATCTTCTCTTCGCGTGCTATATAACTCAATAATACTTTCATACTTTAATTATTATAATTTAGTCTGAGGATCAAGCTGTAAAAAATCTTCATAGAGTTGTAACTTTGCGAATAATTAGGAGAATAAACAAGTCCAAATGAGGCACATACGGGTCCCTTTTTTCAAGAAACTTATATTTAATTTCAAAACATTCATTTGGTCCAGTTCGTTCAGTTCATAATCTTTATAAAAAGGACTTTTCCCCTTCGAAAATTTGAAAATATACTCATGAGAAACAATCCAAATCAAATTCTGCACGATGTAACGTCAAGTGGTGCAGAAATTCTGCACGGTGAAACGTCAAGTGATGCAGAAATTCTGCACGATGTATCGTCAAGTGTTGCAGAAATTCCGCACGATGTAACGTCAAGTGTTGCAGAAATTCTGCACGATGCAACGTCAAGTGATGCTGAAATTCTGCACGATGTAACGTTAAGTGCTGCAGAAATTCTGCACGATGTAACTTAATTTGCTTTGACTTCTGTTTATTTATGGACATTTGCTGTTACATATTATGTTGTGCTTTATTTTCAACAGCTGTTAAACCGACTGCCCCTCCTATTGATAGTAAGCAGTTATAATTTCTTCTATGAATAGTTTTTGTTTTGACTATATTCTCCCTTGTATTTGTTGCGCCTCCTTAATTTAATGGTTTGCAACTGTAACTAAACTGTGTATAAATGCAAATGAATTTCATGTCCAGAAAGAATTAGCTAATTGCACTTTTCAGAAAATTTAATTGAATTACAACTTTCTCTCTTAAATAAAACCAGTTTGTCATTTAGAATAGTCTCTTGTTTGATAACTGTCCTGAATACAATTCTCCCAGTCCCTATTGAGTTGAGATGAACTTGCGTATACACGGTAAACCTCCCTAATGCTCTATTATTTGAAGTT